ATAATAAAAGTTTTATTAAAAGTCTTCGTTCTCTTTGTTTCCATTGATATCCTCTAATGTTATTATAAGATGCCCTTTATCCGTCTCTTCTCCATCACCTTCCCCTATAATCAAATTATCTTCTGAACCATCTAAAGCATTTGAGATGCCGCATTTTTCGAAGGACTTGACTACCATCTCTGCTGGAAGTCATTCCATGCTTCCATGATCCAATGACATATTAAATCGTTCGTCGGTTTCTTCAAGTTTCCCGCTTTAGTAAACTCATGTTCTCCAGTAGCCATCCACGTTCTTTATTTTCACGAAGCCTGTCTTTAAATGGTTTGTTTATATTTACATCCAATGGTTGTAGAACGGATGTAAGACCACCAGGAATGACACTTAGGACAGTATTCATTTCTTGGCACTTGTCCTTTACAGATGGAGTAAGATGTCCTACAAACGAGTCCAATACTAAGAGAGACTTTTTTGGACTCGCATTTTCTGCTTGTTGTAGCCAGATCGTTTCTAACCAATCTTTCATTAGATTTTCGTCCATTCACCCATTTTTTTGCATTCTAAGGATTAGTCCTGGTGGATATTGGCCTTTAGGTTTCCTTTTTCCTTTAAAAATAACCATCGGTGGGAGCTTGGTTCCGTAGGCCAATATACCCAGAACGCAAGTAAGTCGATTTTTTTTATTTCCGGTTGTGCGTATAGGAATTGATTGGGCACCGCGACAATCAAGTGTAAGAGCATATCAAAAAAGATAGGCGTCTCATCCATGTTAGCAATGCAGTTGAGGTCAAAATTGTTGTCTTTTTGTAATGTACGGATGTAGTGGTGAAACGAACAAAGTTTTTCATGCAAGTTTTTGAGAAATTTTTGTACGTCTACGGAGAGAAAGATTATGACGATTCAAAAAGCGATTTCTGAGGCTTTGAAGTCATTGACAGCGTCAGGATACAACTGTTTGAAATCTACAGCAAGTAATTGCTTCATATGAGATTTAACATCATAAGGTGTCACACATAATCTTTTTTCGCGTTGATTCAATATCCACTTTTTAGTGATTCTTCAGCGATTTCATATGTTGCTAAAGCGCCTGACCCTACTCTGCGTTTCGTTAATCTTGCTTTTCTCAGGTCCTCCTCTTTCGTTCGCCATCTACCAATTTGCGTATAGGGCAACACCAAACATTCGCGCTGCAACATGATTACTCGTCGTTTTTGCATAATCGATAGCATCAAGTTTTAAGGAGACAGGGTAACTTTTGCGTGTTTTCTGGGCATTTCGATAAGATAATGAGGTTAATTTGAATAATTTGTTAAGTGATATAATCGAACTTTGCAATATTAGCAACATCACAACTGACGGCAGCTAATCGTGTATTTATCATTGCATTACGCGACGACTTTTATTATTAATTTTCTGACAAAGCGACAAACAACACGTTTTATTACTATAATCCAAGAGTTCTTACAAAATACTTGATCGCGAT